GCGTAGGAATCTTCATCATCGATTGATAAAGTATGGATTCTCCTTCATGGGAGGTTCGTACCAAGCCGGTCTCCCGTGGCTTGGTGCGAAATCCCTGGAAACAATAAACTTGTCTGTTCGGCCTTCCACACGAACCGACCTATAACCGCCACCACTAACGTACTACGGCACTGCTATACGTTCAAAATTCATGGCGCTATGCCCGCTATATTGCACTTGCACTTGGTGGCTAGGTGGCTATAATGGATATCCTTTAATACTAACACACCGTATGTACGTAACGTATACAAGGAACCACTCCGTGCTTGCGCATACACACACATGTGTACACATGTACGACATCTGTGACAAATTTTTGTCTTAGGTCAAGTTTCCGCCGCGTTCATCGTCAGTAATAATATCAAGAAAAGTGATTGTGATCATAATTAGTCGTCAGAAAAAAAATAACAGTCGTATTTTGACTTTGTGAAATATACACGGAATACAATTTTTCTCTCTTGTGCGTTTGAGACAGTCTACAGAACGTAATGAAAACGCGATAGAAGAAATCTTACCGCGAATCGTAATGTTTCTTTCGCGAGAATATCGACGTCATATGAAGAGTGAGATAGAGAGAGACAGAAAGAGAGAGGAGAGTACCGACTTTGTATGCGAAGATCTCACGGAGACGCGCGCGCGAATGTGCAACATAACTTGAGTGCGAGTGTTCATTTGGAGACATGAATCTCAATTGATTCCGTGTGGAAAGCACACTGCGCGAGAGGAGAGAGCCACCTAGCGCGCGCGAGTGCGGCAACGGGGAGGAGTGAAGGGGGAAATGTGCAATATGTATCTTCGCAGGGGGATGTAGGAAGGAATGTATATATACAGGTGAATTCTCTATGGATACACAAGGGTTATAGAGGGTGAGGTCCCGCAAGCGATATTAGGTGGAAGGGAGGCATCTGTTCGCTACGGCTGTGTGTGTGTGTGTGTGTGTATGTGTAAGCCGTTAGTGCCAATATAGCGTCCGTATACCACCCCGCCAGACATAACGTTTCGGGAGCTGTGTATTATATATTGTCCGTAATCGAAGATCTCTCTCCTAAGACCTGTCCACTTGATAGGAATGCCGAAAGACGATCCTCTCCCTTCTCCGAAGTATTGTGTGACACTCGAGCGCGACAATGCGACTTGATAGAAAAAAAAAAAAAAAACAAGCGCTTCTTTTTGCGTCGTGAAAAGGCGAGCGCAATCGACAAAATTCTTTTTTAACCGCAAGCGAGGAACAAAAACCTCGATTAAAACTTGCATTTGCATTGCGCGACGAAAAACAGCCGCATTAAAAAGTAACGAGATGAAAATTCTCGGATCGGTATAAAATATAGAGTTTATTCAAATTGTAAGAAGATTAGCAGCTCGAGAAAGATATCGAGCGCGTGGTTTAATTTTTATAAAACAAAAAAGCAGTCTGCGATTTTAATGTTGTCATTATTCGATGTCACTTTTTTTTTCGAGTTGTACTGCTGATATTTTTAATTCGCGAATGAATACATTTCGCCGCCACCGGGGAATGATAATTCGCTATACATATATCGCGCGACTATTAAACACAATCGCCAACATCGATGAAACCGGGCTTCATTAATAATGCGCTCCCGATCGAGAAGAGCTCTTTAATTAATTCCGCCAGGGCAAAAGTTTCGCTGTTACGGGAGCAAGGCGGTTTTCTTAATTGAGAAAAATGATTTAATTTCTTTGCGGTATCGTTCGCGGGATGAAGGAGGATGAAGACGTCTCTCGGCCGAGGGCGGTTGGTCGAGATGGGATAACTCAAGAGTGAAAAGAGAAGGCGGCGGGTGGAAGGGCAGACTCACATCAAATATGAATAGTCCGAGAGGATGGGCGGATAAAGACGGAGGGAGAAGTACGAGGGAGGGCATGAAATATTTCCCCGTTTCGCATCGCGCTTTCATTTGCCTACGAGCGTATAGAAGCGGAAAACTTCTGGATGTATCAACTAACTCTCGGAGTTTCCGGCTTGCTCGCCACATACAAACTCTCATCGCCACTGTGTGTGGCTCTCCGTCGATTTTTTTATCCGGTAACAAGTGTTACCGAAAATCGCGTTTTACAGAAAAGTCCCAGATTTCGCCGTGCGAGAAACCAACATTTTATTCAAACTTCATTTCACGGCGAAGCTTGACTACTTCTTTTAAGAGAGAACGAAAATACTGTTGCAATTATTTGCAGAAGATATTGCGAACGACTGCGCCTTTGCTCTTGCGAACGTTCGTTTTTTTGCGTCTTCATATACATACGACGGCGCAAAAAAACGAACGTTGGCAAGAATAAAAGCGCAGTCATGCGCATCACGGTATTTCAGAGAATGTTTCACTTCTTGCCGGTGCGGTTTTCGCAAGAGATGTTCTTCGTTATCACTTTTTACCTTCTTCAACGAAATCGGTTCATTTTAAATTGCACGAAAATATCGCGGCGTTTATATCACGTTTTATGCAATTTCAATTCGCTCGGTTGATCCGTTTATGTGGAGCCAAAAATCCCATCCGCCTCTTTGCGCGTAAAATTTCAACGTGCATCGCGCCGCACAAAATCACGTTCTTACTCTCGCAAGTGAGTATGCGAAACTGCTGCGCGCAAAAGCCGTATCCTCTGTATCCTCGCCGCCGCAGACTCGTCGGGCGAATTTTACATCGCAACTTTCCCACGTGAGATATTCCGGGGGGGGGGGGGGTTTACGTCGATTACACGCCGACGATGGCGATGGGAGCGCGCCGGCGTCGAACTTCTCGCCGTGAATCGAAATCGCCGTAAATCGTCGATCCCGCCGCCGCCGCGCGCCAATAATTAACGCGCCCCGAACTCCTAATTGATTGTCTCGCTGATTTACAGAGTCGCACAATTAATCGGACATGAGTTATCGGTCGATAAATGAGAGTTTAATTACTGCTCGTAATTACGACTTACGACGCGATGCGAAGAAGATACGACAATCGGAGAAGTTTTCGGAGCGGCATTAGCAGAGTTAAAGAATGTCTCGAGAAAAAAAAACGAGAGAATTAGGGAAAAGAAGAAGCGCGCGGGAAAACTGAATGAGAGAGGATCGAATGAGAAAATCTCTGCAAGAGAGAAACGAGAAACGGGGATGGAAGGGTAACAAGAGGTTTCAAGCGCATGGATCGTATGGAGTACGGAAAGTGGCGCGCAAAACGAAAAAGTAGCAGACAGAAAAGAACGAGAGATAAAAAGAGATTGATAAATAGAAGGACAAAGAAAAGAGAGAAAGAGAGAGAGAGAGAACGGTGGGAGAGGAAAAGGAAAGAAAAGAGGGGGAGAGAGAGAAAATGACAGAGACTTACATTTCCCACGGGGTATTCCTGCCGGGTTCCATCCTTACGGATTGATGCTCAATTTCCACCGAGTTTAGCCCCCATCGAGGGATCATTGCGCTAGATCGCGGGAGCTTCTCTTTCGATTTCGAATAAATTCGATAATGGCGGATAGGTAGTTGCAGCTCCTCTCCGGTTACGCGAGTGGGGAGAAGAGTGGATAACGAAAGAGGAAGAGAGAGAGAGGGAGAGACAGAGAAGCGCGCGCGGAGAGTCCCTCACGATCGTTTTTGCCTTAATCGAGCGGACTAGACGCGGCAGCTTAGCATCCGACGAATCCGACGGAGCGTTGTTGCACCGCTCCGGGATACGTGGGAATGCCGATTTTGCAGGAGCAAAAGCGTCGGTACGATTATGCGACCGGGCGATAAAGTGGATTGGAAGAATTTGTGCGGGTCTCTGCGCGCGCGAATTGAATCGAATTTCGCGTCTTACAGGTAACTGCCAAGTGCATTGCGCAAACTGGAGCCGCTGTTCTACGCTCGGAAGCGGTTTGTCGAGGAGAAAATTACATCGCCCCGAAGGCATTCAATTCAAGCCCACCTACAGAGTGCAGAGATTATAATGTATTCAATAACATTATTATACGTGTAAAAAAATCTCTCCGCGTTCGCGAGTTGTCTAAGACAAGACAACTAATTGTTCTCTAATTGTCGAGATACATTTCTCTCACACGCGTACTTGCAAGAGCAACTCTCTCTTGTCGTTTCGTGCAATTTCAATTTTTTTGGCTTAATTCCAGAGATATTTAATTTTGCCAACCGGAACAATAAAAGAGTGGCGGACAACATTCCGGATCTGGAATCGCCAAAGTATATATGTCCCCCGCTAACTTAGGACAATCGTATTCGGGTTTCTCGCGCGCGACACAGACATTTACATCGGAACGACCTTTACATTACAGCCATTATCGCAATCAAGAAGTTCGTACAGGCCGAGTTTCTCCGGGATTGCGAGGAGAGAACGGAGGAGAAACGCCGCCGACTTACTTACTAATGAACCCCGCGCTCGATCTCTCTCGTAGAAGGGGCGGATAATTGTGAGCGTCATCGAATTAAGTCGCGGGAAGAAGAAGAAGCATGAAGTGCGCAAACGACAATTTTCCGACGACAGAAACACCGCGGCGTCGATGTTAACGGTTCCGGCAATTACGGCGAATTATATTAACCACGTTCGCACCTCGCGCCACCCTCGGTCGCCACCTCTCAGAGCTTGTAGCCCGACGGCGCGACGCGCACATACGCGATCCCGGCACCGACATCGTCGTGGCCTGTTATTCGGGCTCAGGAACTCGCGCGAAACTAATTCCAAGCCGCAAGACAGAAGTCAACTTAAATGACTGTCGAAAAGTTACACACGTCCTTATCCAGATCAAACTTGGAGCAGAGTCTAACCGAAGAGAAGATCGCTTTGGACGTATCCGAAGTGCGTTTCCGTGTACGCGAGTAATATTTCAAAGAAACAATTCGATGAAACAATCACATTTTCAAAACTTTTCCTTATTTAATTAAAACAAAATCCATATAACCCATATTGCGCTTTATCAAAATAAACAATTATTAAGAAGAATATTTAAAAACAAAACGTCATTCTATTAATTTGTGTACTTACGTAACTAAATCCCATGACTTTCAGCAGCCAGACGGTGAGGGCGAGGTTGACAATGACAATGACCGTGAGAGTTAACACCAGTGTGTACAGACATCTCTTTCTCCAGCCGTAGACACCTAATCTGAAGCCGCTTTTACACGGCGTGCTACCGGAAGTGTGTTCCTCGAGGGCGGAAGTTGACGATCTTGTGGAAGGCCCCGCAGTTTGTCGCGCGCCACCGCGACGACTTACACCACCGGAAGTGCAGGGTTCGTCGGACCATCCCCCTTGGCCTCGAGACGACATCCTTAAATAATAATATACATTTGTTATAACGTTGTGAAACAAAACTTTTGTCATTTTTTTTTTCGATCTTCTTTTTATGAAAATCAATAGACACATCTAATCGGAGAAAGCAAAACCGCACATTTTTATTTTGCGACAAACCAAACTTTGGAAATGAAAAATTCAAACAGATGTATACAAGCAACATAGAATATTGTAACGCAAGGAGAGAAAGATTTATAATAATTCGAATTTCTATTTGAAAACGAATACATTTTTTCGGAAGCAATTGAGAAATTTTTGTTTGAAATATTTTGAATTTTTCACGCGCCCTCTATGAATACCTTCATGCGCCGTTTTCATGCCACAAGCGATTTCACGCCGTAAATTGGCAGATTACGGCTGCGAGATACAAACGAGACGCGTGTTATAGCTACAGGTCGTTACAGCGTGCAGTTGCGAGCCATTAATAAGACTACAATTACGAGGCTGTTCTTTCTGCCGTGATCATTTATCAACGGTTTATACCTCATTCTTGAGCACCGGCTGCGCGGAATTGTTCGAGGAGACGAAACGCGTCACGAAAGACAGATCTTCCGATGTTTTTTTTTCCCCGCCCCCTTAACACGTCCAACAACGCGGGATACTTTATATCGAACGTGCGCGGCCTGTAAAGATAAACTCGGCGGAGGATCGCCAAGTCCTTCCTCGATAGGCGAACCGATAACTTCGTCGATTCGCCACTGTCAGCGACTGTCAGAGCACGACGTTTATTTTTTTCTGCTTCGTTTTTCTTACGAAGAGAGAAGACCTCTTTACAAATACAAAATTCAATCGTCGAATTAAAATCACGATCTTGTAACAATATATATTCGACTAGGAAAAAAAAATCTCTCGGTCGTATTGCACATTGATTATGCGCAAGGCATTTGCATATCGATGCAATTAATTTTCGTCGGCCGTCTCTCTTCGTCGTACGTATTACCTGTGTGGCAATAAAAAAAAAAATCTGCTGACTCTTATAACATGACGAAATCAACATTACACCTAGGGTCACTTTCTCGTATCATATCGCGAGATCGTTCTTCGTATTAATTACAACCGTAATCTGTAAACCAGGCTCGCTAACTCTTACAAAATGGCGACACTTCTCTCACTTTAAAACTCGCGCTCTCGTACACAACGCCGTGGCTCGATCACGCATTCTTTCGCGATAATCCGGGGAAAACAGTTTTTTTAACGGATTTTTGTGAACCAAAAGTTTTGTTTTATAGAGAAAAGCTTCTAAAGTGAAAGACAATAATATTCCTTTTGTTTTTTTGTTTTTTTTTTTTTAAAAAGAGTAAGACAATTGCTTATAAACTCACGATGCTTAAGCGTAAGTCGCTCTCAGCGCTGAATCGCGGATCAGCAACGTAGTATAATATACTTTAACGGCTCGGGAGCGAAATGACCCGCGGATTACGACGTAGAAGTTAATGCGACGCTCTGCGTATTTTTATCGGACATGCAACCGAACTGGGGGAATCGCGGGACAAAGAGACGGAATACGAAACAACGCGAACACGAAGGGAAACGAGAAAGAGAGAAAGAGAACTTATGCAAAGCTGGCCACAGAATGTCTGACGTAACTTTCCTACCTAATCCCGGGTCCGTGAGGCCTTGGACGGGAGAAAGAATCCCTTCCGTTCTCGCCGCTCACCGGCTTGCGCGAGCCTCCCTCAGCTTCTTTACTTATTCGGTTTTATTTTCGGTTTTATTTTCGAAGCTGGGGAGTGTTACGGAACAGGTCCAAAGTGAAATAGAAGGAAGGGTAAGAGGGAGAAAGAGAGACAGAGAAAAAGAGAAAGAAGAGAGAGAGAGAAATCGATGGTGCGCGCTGCGAAGAGCGAGATCTAAAATATTCAATGCCGGGCTTCCCGCCCTTTTGTAGATAATTATGCCCCTCGCGAGTATAAAAGAGACCCGGTTGTTCGAAATTAAAAGCACCGGGCGATAAACCAGTGCGAGAAAAGCGGCACGCGGTTGCTGTATCAACTTCTCGACGAGAGATCGCACGATTCTCAACTGTGAATGTGAGTCGCTCTCATTTTTTCGGAGACTGACACACATTCCAGCAATTTTTTCTCGCGTCAGAAATTACCTCGGTCGCGGATTTGTCTTCAAAAATGCCCTCTACATGTTTCACGATCAGTACAACAAATACTTTAAGTCCATTAGCAAATCTTGCACACATACACACGTGTCATTTATGACTCGTACAAAGTTAATTACGCAACATATCACTGAAACACATCAGCGGCACAATTTTCCGCAAAGAGAAAGTTTTATCTGAGCGCAAAAGCAAAAACTTAAGAATCCCCAGACACGAAAGTCTCTCATTAGGGCCACCGTAAAAATTACAAGTGAAAATTTCACGACGTGCCGCGATTATACACACATCTGCAAATCCGACTCCGGACAAAGGCAAAGAAAGAAAACAAAAACAAAAAAAAAAAAACGAAAATAATCAGTATACGCGCGCCTTTTGCGCGCGACGAGCGAGATGGCGCCAAGAATGTATAAATTTATTTAATGCGCCCTTTTTTGCATATCTTTCTTTTTAAGTGGCCGGTGAAGCGCGCAAAAAAGACGAAGGAAAATGGGCATTATGAATTCAGGCTTTAAGGCGCAATTATAACGCGGAAATATTTCATGGCCCATAAATAGCCTCGGACATATGTTAAACGCTCGCTCCGGAACTTTTGACGTAACGCGAAGTTAGCGCGGCGACCATTATTTCACAGTCCCGAGCCGAAAGTGCATTGCAAGTTACGGAATTATTACTGCTACAGTAATTCGAGGGGGCGGCGCGAGAAAATATTTTTCACGCGTGAGAACGCCGGCGCGCCGGGAACTCTCTCGCGTTTCGCGCGAAGATATCTTACTTCCTGAAGTTATAGTTGCTTTTTTCTTTCCTATACACAAACCACGTAGTAGGTGCGCAACTTATTACGTCCGCGCATCCGTCTGTTCATTTACTTGGAAGCGGCGAGGCGTTTAAATTTATTGCAAATTGCGCGCGCCGACGCGCTCTCTCATTTGTCCGCTCATTTGTTTTTTGTTTTTTTTTTTTTTTTTAGCGAGATGGATTTTTTTCGTCTTTTCGTGATTTGAAAACTCAGAAATGAAAGCCCAGACGCCGCGACCTTTTGCCTTCGGTGCGAAACAACGCGACGCGGCAACACGCCTACGTCGTACGGTTCACTTTCGGCGGCGAACAATGAGCCCAGCTTAATAAAATAGTAGGTACGGTAAGGGAGGTACAATTACGGATATCATTTATTTCGCGCGGGTGACAACGATGGATTACAACGGCAACCGCAATTTAGATTCTTTGCTGCTGCGATCTCGCGAGAACTCGCCCGCGCGCGGGATAGATTTATTTTCCCCGCTTTAAGCGCCCGAAAGCCCCTTCCCGGATGCAGATAGGGACGTTGAATGAATTAATCCATACCGCATTTGGGTGGTTGTAAGAGTGTTTAAACAGAGGTCAGGAACGCGCGCGGCAGGGCGCGGGGGTCAGGAAAGGAGAGAGAGGAGGAGGGAAAGAGAGCGGAAGCAGAGGCCCGGCTTGTACAGAGCGCAACCGTTGTTTAAATCGTAAGCCGAGCTTAAATTGTCTGCCATCCAATCCTAGGTTTGCGCTTGACTCAAGTTGCAGGCAGGTATAACTCGGCGTTATAACCGGCAGGAAGCATTATGACCACCATTGTTCACTAATATCCCGCTTTCCGTGTTACCGAAGTTGTTTCCAGGACGCCGATGACAGCTCTCGCGCGGCTCGCGACGGCTGAAGAGCGCGCAACAAGCAAAGCGATGCGAAAAGCCAAACACGTTGTTTTATATAGACAGAAACGTTGATACATCGCAGCCGAGCACGCAGTTCCTGCATTTTCGATTGTTATTTCTAATTTATTTGAATACACACACGCGCGCGCGCGCTCGCACACGCACACACATCGAGAAACGCGTCGTTAAATAAATTGTGATTGAAAACCAATATTAAGCCGTTGTGTGTGTTTTCTCTTGCAGATAAATTTTCATTTACTTTTATTTTCTTAAAAAAATACAATCGCTCTTTTAATAAATTAAAAGAGCGGTTTGTTTCGCGCAATATATATATATGATCGTCGTCTGTGTTTGTTTGTTTCAATTTCCGTTGATAACAGGCAGAGCTTTCGCGAAAGTTTTATTTTCGTAAATTAACAATAATAAGAACGGAGGAAAACAATGTTTTTTCTGTAAAATAATTTTGTATCTTTAGCAAAAAGCGAAAGCGTGTGCTTCAGAACGAAAAAAAAAAAAAAAAAATCTAAAAACTGGTACTAAATAGATAAATAGTCACTTCTCTTTTTTGCTTGCTTAAAAAATGTCTCATTCTCGGTTGCCTCGAATGGGGAAAGTAAATCCTTCTTTTCAACGACGAAGCAAATAGACGTATTTGTCGATGAAAACCTACTCGACTCGCCGAACGATCCGAAATGTCGATCTTTCCGCTTTATCGAACCAAGAGGATCGTTTGCAAGCAGATTTGACAATACGGCGATCGACAAGATGACTCCGCGACGTATAAACAGCGGAATTGAAAAAATTCGCTTCAATTACACACGCGGAGAAAAAATGCTCGCAAAGATCAAATTGCTCAGTTAAAAAAAAAAAAAAAAAACATGAATCTTCTTTGTTTGTAAATAATAATTGCGATTAATTTTTTAACGCACACAGAAATCGAACGTCAGTTTCTCTGCGTTTAATTATCCAATTTGCATTTACGTAGCCTCATTAGCTGCCAACAATTACCGCTGCTCGTGGCAATAAATTTTCTTGAGCGCAATTCCCTTTCTCTCTGGAAACTTTACGTATCTCTCGTCTACGAAACAGACGCATTCCATTTCTCGAACACGTTGCATAGGTACGCAGTCCCGTATACGCGGTCACACGCACAATGGTGTACATGCGGACACGACGGAACAGCTTGACATG